ATTTCGTTTCTCAACATTGTTCTCATTTACAACAAACACTCTGCCAAAACGTTACTGTTGTCATCGGTGACCAGATCACCCATTGGCTCGCCGGTAGAAGACCTCTTCACCGGTTGGGATAGTATTTGGTCTGTCTCCTGTGATCGCGTAAACACTACAGGAGTCCTTGTTATGGCTATTTGGTGGCGTGCGATGCTAAGCCATTGTTATGGCGCACATAACATAGTCACAATTATAACCTAAAACTTCCTTTCGGGGATGATGGTTGAACTTGATGATTTTTTTGTTTTCAGCCAAGCACCAACACCACTTTACTATAATAACCAGTCTGTTTCACCGTCTGCCTCTTGTTTACTGGCTTTCAGCTCTCCATCTGAGCAATACCTCAGAGAGGCTGTCATCGAATGTGACAGACATGACGCGCTCAAACCTGTCCAGATTTAGTTTCTTCTTCTTCTTCTTTCTTCTTCTTCACGTTTACCGGCTATAAACTCCGGTGGAAAGTTATGGTTGTTCGTCCACTTCTGGACTGCAGTCCTTTTTCAGAACCTGAGTGTTGCGTGTTCATCTGTGTGACAGATCTCATTTGCGTGCAACCTGTTGGTTCCTTGCCTCTTAGGCATGTGCACTCCGACTCTTACGAAATGCTTTTAGGTAGGCAGTGGATCTATTCTTGTTTTCCCTATAACAAGGCCCTGGTGCCCACATTTAGTTTCATCCGAGACATAATTATGGAATAATCAACAGACCCCGGCAACATTTGCACTGGGAGTCCACCAATCACCGGTTGGACCATACTGCTTACTATATAAGAAGGCACGACTCTGTTGCTTCGATTCAAGCTGTGTTGGCTGCGGATCCCTCGTTATGGCTTTTCTAGGCAAATTGTACGTTCAGTAGTTTGCCATGATCCTGTACGATCAGCTCTAGGTACCTCTGTCGAAACCAACGCAAGACAAATCGTCTACAGATGGAATCGAACCCGGCAACCCGGCATTACGAAGTGCGTTCGCCAGGCCTAAGCCACCTACTCTGAGGATGGACTGCAATATTGTTTGTTGCAGCAGACAGAGGCATCTATTCGTTCCTAAAATGGTTTGAGCTGAATGTGATCTTTTCTCCATCTTTGTACCAGGCGTGACTTATTATTTGTTTATTACACTTTTGTTTCCTGCTGTTGTTAGGTTCAAGTCTCTTGTCGGATACACCAGCCAACCATTAAACCAACCCCAACAATCTAGCTGACTTACCAGCCAACCATTTAACCAAAACCAACAATCTAGCTGACTTACCAGCCAACCATTTAACCAAAACCAACAATCTAGCTGACTTACCAGCCAACCATCCAACAATGCACTCACACATCAGTCAACCAAATAGCCAGATTTACAATTCAACCCCCCCTCCCCCCTCCAACTTTCTAACCATCCTTTCAAACGTCCTTCAAACCAGTCATCCATACAACCAGCCAAACCTTAAATCGTCACAGCCAACCAGCTTACCAATCAACGTAGCAGCCCACGATTTAATAAACGAAATATGCAACAAATCTTCCACTCATCCAAACAGTCATCCATCTTACCAACCACCCATCTAACAAACTGTCCAAACAACAAACTAACCATCTAAACAAACAACCAACCTTACAGTCACTCAGCCATCCAATCAGTCACCCATCTTACCAACAGACCAATCAAATATCCACCTAACTCTTCACACACACACACACACACACACACACACAAAACCACCTAGAATCTAAACAGTCACCCATCTTACCATCGGACAAACCACTCATCCAACTAACTCTTCACTGGCCATCCAAACTTACATTGAATCAGTTAAAAGAACAGGTTGACTAAACTGTTTCACCCCAACAGATCCTGACAACTTGGTGCTCTACCAGGAGTACGTGAAGCACCGGTTCGGGAGGAATGTGGAGCCGATCCCCGAGCTGAACGTGGATGAGGTGGAACCATGGAGGAAGAAGTTCTATGCCATGTGCTACAACAGCACCAAGCCGGCCAGACTCAAAAGACAGGTGAGACACCTTGTGAATATGCAGTCTGTGATTGTTTATAGAACAATATGAAGTTCTGGCGTGGAAAAAGGCTGCTTATCTTTGAAACTAAAATATTTAGGCCAACGCCAAGGATGAGTGCCAAGAAACAAATTATAAAGAAGATATTCAAACAACCTGTTGTGTGCTAAGTCATTCTGTAACGCGTGGAGTGAACGGACGGATGTTGAATGGTCGAGTGAAACATGGCTGCTCAATAATGGTCACAATTTGTTTGAGAGGGTAAAGGTGGAGAGTGAGCCACTTGGAGCTGTGGAAACATTTGTCGCCTGAAGATAATGACGAACTGGTGAACATGCCACTATGGTTCGTCAAGGGTATTGTAAAATCTGTCTAGACAGACTGTAAGTGAGATGAACCGGTGGTACCATGAGTCAGTCGCTTTTAGTCAGCTAAATGTTTGAATGTATGGGAGAATTG